CCCAAGGCCATCAGCCACAGCAACCAGGACCTACGACATTGACTGCCAGGCTGTCTGCCTCCCGCTGAGCTGGCTGTGGGCTGGAAGTCTGGGGAATGTTCTAATCAGAATAGTAATAGGTTGCTTTACTGAAAAACCATGCGGAAGCAAGCAGGGCAGCCACATGGTAGGAAGAGAACAGAATTTAGCTCAGACAACCCAGGTGTTAATGGCAACTGATACTAACTAGTTTTGTAACCTGGAGCATCCTCTAACCCCACCAAAGCTCAGCCATCTCATTTAAATATCAGATGGACTATATAACAGTGTCTAAAACAGCTCCTGACACGAGGTGCAAATATAAGGTGAGTGAAAGATGAAAGAGGTGTGCTTCATGAATACAGGTTCGATTAGCCTCGGAGAAAGTGTAAAGTTCATGAACGAGGGCATAATAAAAATCAAAGACATGGAGAATGTTCAGTAAATGGATCTAGAGGCTTGTGTGTGAATGTGTGTGTTGGGGCCATTTACACGGAGGTCGTGCCATGGACCATCACCGTCCTGTGAGTCATAGACCATTAATAACCATGAACTAAGGAACTGTGTCATGTACGTCGGGTTTCCCCATTGCATGCATTTTACAGATGCTTACCCACAGATTGTTCTGAGACACAGCCTCTCCGCTGACAGCTGCAAAACCCAGCAACGGGCTGCACGTGATGGGCTCAGAATGCACCGCTTGACTTTGCTCTCCCTCCCTGCCCTACTTCCCAGGCTCCTCCTTACTTTCGCTTGCCTGGGGTGTGCTCCTCAATAAAACATTAGTCCATAGCTTTGGCTTCAAGCACCGCTTCTGAGGAAACCTGAACTAAGACAGATTTTTTTTTCTTTTTTTGGTAAAAGAAAATACATGGAAGTAAATATTCATGGGAGAAAGAGCTACATTTCCATATGCAAGAGGCTAATCCGATTGTCTACACTCTTCTATAGTTTCTATTTTTAAAATTTTAAATTAGCAAAATGGTTGTTTTTAATATACTATTTAAACATACACATTAGTTTCTTCCAAATTAACAGATATGATATGTAGACATAAGCTGAAAAGCCACAGTGAGAATAAAAAGAATTGTCCTCAGGAGATATTCCACTAGTAGGAATTCAAGGGGAGTTAATAGGCGCTTTCATAACCTACTATTTTATACTCTCATCATTTTAATTTTATTTTATTTAAATTTAAAGACATCATAAATGTTGATTTTCATATGTTGGAAGAGGAATCAATTAGAATATACAAAAATGTAGTAAACACATTGAGTGTACTAAATACATTTCAATTATTCCATAACTTCCTTAGGTGTTAAAGACAATCACATGACTTACCATGATTTGTAATTTCAAAAATCTGTTCAACAAAGGTTCATTTTGAGACTTATTCCAACCTGAATGTCATTCAGAGAGCCTTGGGAAGTCTCTTTTTGGCCCAAGTCTGATATGCGTGCTGCATATCGAATCCTAAAGCCAACACATTCCCCATTACTGTTTATTCTCCAGGGACCAACATTAATGCAAGCAAAAAAAAAAGGTACCTTGGATTTTGCATGCTTTCTCCAGAAAAGAGGTTAAACATCTTTCATTTCCCTAGGGTGGTCTGCTTTGCAGTGAGAATCCTACTGGTCTAGTGAGAAGGAGCTCTGGGAAATCTCTACCCTCCCGCCCTGTGGCCCATTTCACAGATGAGGACACTACTCAGACACAATGACCATCCTCGAGATGAACCATTCTCAGACTGGGTACCATGGTTAACTATGTGGGCAGTATCTACATTTCAAAAACTTGTTAGGAACAGTCAGATATTCACATAGCTCATTCATTTGATAAATAAGAATTCTGCTAGGGGCGCCTGGGTGGCTCAGTCATTAGCGTCTGCCTTCGGCTCAGGTCATGATCCCAGGGTCCTGGGATCGAGCCCCACATCGGGCTCACTGCTCTGCAGGAAGCCTGCTTCTCCCTCTCCCACTCCCCCTGCTTGTGCTCCCTCTCTCACTGTGTCTCTCTCTGTCAAATAAATAAATAAAATCTTTTCTAAAAAAAAAAAAGAATTCTGCTAGAGAAGAACCGACCTATTTTTGGAAGGGATTAAATCCCTTATGCCAAAGACTTCTGGAATGACATTTTAACTTTGCTTTTCCTACTTGTGCTGGGGGTAGAGTGGGAAGGGTTAACACCAATTTATGTAGTTATTTCTAGGCATGTAATTACGTAGTCATTTCTTTACCTGTGTTCCTTCCAGTCCTACCCCTAGCAACTTGAAAACAAAAATCCATATCCTGGCCATATTGATTCCATCTTTCTACAAGTTTAACCATAAGCTGTCTTATTATGGTTCCAGCTTGGGCTATGGAGTCCAACTAACTGGGTTTGAATTCTGGTTCTGCCATTGACCCAGATACTTGAATTTGGGTAAGTGACTTGATTGTGCCTAAGTAGCCTCTTTATCCTCCCTTCCTCATCTGTAAAATTGGGATGATTTTAATACCGATTCTGCTTGCACAGTGCCTAGTGTTGTACCTTTAAAAAAAAAGATTTTATTTATTTATTTGACAGAGAGATGGAGAGCACAAGTAGGCAGAGCGGCAGGCAGAGGGAAAGGGAGAAGCAGGCTCTCTGCTGAGCAGGGAGCCCGATGTGGGACTCGATCCCAGGACCCTGGGATCATGACCTGAGCCGAAGGCAGATGCTTAACTGACTGAGCCACCTGGGTGCCCCCCTAGTGTCATGCCTTTCACATAGTAAACATTTGATAAATTGTTGGCTATTGATAAGTGCTTAAATAGTATTTATCGGAAAAGAACGTGTTAAGAGGAAAGAGAGGAATTACCACAAAGAAGAAAGCTGTTGATTCTGTTTTTTTTTTTTTTGAGTTGCAAATCTGGTTTTAATATATACCTCCTTTTACCTACTCATTTTGAATATACACTTGTCACATTTGTGGTATGATAAAAATATTAAAACACTTGATAAAAATCAATTTTAGTATTTCCCTTATAAAAAGAATGACTATATTAAAGCCTTGAAGTTGCTAGAATGAAAGCTGTTGATTCTTGCTTAGGCCATCTCAGCTCCCATATTTTGGGAACCCTAACATAATTTCTCATGCTCGTAGAAGGAAAGAGGTAAAGAGGATGAATACCTCTTTTTTTTTTAACAGCAGAACCCTGTTGTCAGATAAAATTTACATATATTAGGCATAGTACGCTCCTAAAACAGTGTACAAATTTAGCACATTACTTCCCCCACCCCCACTCCACCCCAGGTAATAGCTAGAACACGCAAGTACTCCATTAAAAAAAAAGTCCAGAGTATCCACCTTTGTCTAAGAATCCCAGGGGCTTGCTGGGTGGGTCAATGCCAAGCAGAAGGAGAAATGGCCTTGCACTGTTCTGCACCTCCTGCTGATCCTCCCACCCAGAGGTTGGCCGCTGTGTGGATGGACCTGCAGTTTCCCCAGGAGGCGCCCAGCCGGGGCTCAGCTCCAGCTCCTGGCTTTGTGGTCACAGCTCTGAGAGCACGGTCATAGGACCAGCATCACTCTCCAGGACCCCCAACTACTGTGCCGAGGGCTTCTGGCAAAAGCCACACGCTTCTGGACCAACCAGCCTTCGCTCCAGACCGCAAGCCCTTTTCCAGAGCCTGGACCCTCACCCTTGCTATCTCTTTTCGCCTTAATCTCTACCTAGTTTTAGGATTTTTCACCTATGCAAATGCGTCTGCCTCCTTCTCCACCATTTGCCAGGGCTGCCGTAACTAAGCCCCACAGAGTGAGTGGCTTAAACAACACAAGTTTATTTTCTCATCCTTCTGGAGGCTATAAGGCCCAGACCAAGGTGTCAGCAGGATTGGTTACTTCTGAGGCCTTTGTCCCTGGCTCACAGATGGCCATCTCTTCCCTGTGTCCTCACATGGCCCTATCTCCAAATACAGTCACATCTGAGGTACGGGTGGGGGGGTGGGGTTAGGACGGCAACATTTGAAATTTGGGGGGACACAGTTTTCAGCCCATGATGCCAATAATTAACTCTACATACCTAGGGGTATAAATTAACTGTTTTAATTCAAGAAAGAGTGTGTTGAAGGAGAGATAGAGGGGAGGGAAGAGAGACTGATCCGTTGAGCTCTTCAAGGACAGTGGGCACCCCATGCTAACCTTACTAAGACAGCCACTCAAGTGGCTGTTCAAACATTTAAAGCATACCTTACTCCACCCAGAGGCCCAGAGTGAAACAGATGACTGCAGAGCGTCTCTGGTTGAAATGAGCGTGGGGGGTCTGGGCCCCTTCACTCTCTCCTCACTGAGTCACCTGTGACAAGCACCGTGCAGAAAACTTTGGCCCAGAGGATTGCAGGTGTCCAGGCTCCTCCCATGACTTTTTTACAACCACGCAACTCATCAAAGTTTGAAACAGGTGTGCACCATATCATCTGACCATCCCCGCCATTGGAAACGTACTCTGTCACTAGCGTTCATGAAGCTCACTGTCACTCTGAAGGGGTCTGGATGAGTTCCCGTGGCCACGCACACAGTTTGGCACTTGTACAGTCGGCTTTATTTTTCCACTTTGCTGCTTTTTGGAGATGGGCTGGCTTATCACCTGCTCAGCTCCGATACCCAAGAAAAGCTGAGAAGGGAAAGTTAGATGCAGCCTCCCTGTGACCTCTTTGCACACACCAGGGCCAATAAAACAAGGGCCGAATGACAGTGACAGCTGCCTTGTGGCATTCAGAGGGACTCGAGCAGTTCAGTTCCGCCGTCTCAGGGACAAGTATACCATTACAGCCTGGCTGCTCCAAGAGAAGCCACCTAAACCCACCCTCGGGGCCGGACCACGGCGGGGTGGCTCGGGCCTCTGCAAGGCCCCGCTGAGACCCCTCTGTGAGCTCCCTGCGGGCGACAGCTCAGCTTTCAGCAGCTGGGGGACCCCCTCCCAGCCTCCCCAGAGGCCAGTGGGTGAAAAGGAAGGAAGATGGGGGCCAAGCAGTCAAGCGCTCACTGCAGGGACAAGGGCCCTAGAAGGATGGTTCTCCTGTGTGGGAGGCAGCCCTTCTCCCCGTGGGATGACAGCCTGCTCTCGGGAAAGGACCCCCGGGCTCTGCTGAAGCGGGGCATGCGGCACGTCAGCTTCAGCCTGGTCACCAAGGGAATGACGGACATCCCCGACTTTCTGTGGGGCTTGTCTGAGGTCCAGAAGCTCAATCTGTCTCACAACCAGCTCAGGGCTCTCCCCGCCGACGTGGGGAAGCTGAGTCGGCTGGTGGTCCTGAATCTATGCGGGAACCGCCTGCGGAGCCTGCCTCGAGAAATCAGCCTCCTCAAGAGCCTCAAGGTCCTGTTCGTGAACATGAACTGCCTGACGGAGCTGCCGGCCGAGCTGAGTGCTTGCAGGAGCCTGGAGGTCCTGAGCTTGTCCCACAACTGCCTCTCCCAGCTTCCCGCCAGCCTCGCTGACCTCTCCAGACTGCGGAAGCTGAACCTCAGCAACAACTACTTTACTCACATCCCCATCTGTGTGTTTGCGCTGAAGGAGCTGGATTTCCTGCATGTGGGTTCCAATCGCCTGGAAAACATCGCCGAGAGCATCCAGTGCCTGGTCAGCCTGCAGATCTTCATTGCGGAGAGCAACAACATCCACTCCTTCCCGCGGTCGCTCTGCCTGCTCACCGGGCTGGAGCTGCTGAACTTGAACAACAATGACATCCAGACCCTCCCAGATGAGCTCTACCTGCTGTGGAGACTGGGGCGGATTGCTTGGAACCCCATGGACAAAGGGCTCCACATTTCCCATAACCCGTTATCCAAGCCTCTGCCAGAGCTGGTAGAGGGGGGCCTGGAGATGCTCTTCAGTTACCTGAAGGACAAAAAGCGCAACTGACTGGGCCCCGGAGCCAGGGCCAGTCGCCAACTCGTGGACACCTGTCAGCTGGGTACTGCTCCAGTCTCAGCTCTCTGCTCTTACTGTTCTTGTCAGTTAGCGCTTGTGTTCGTATTTGCCGAATGGTATCGAACGCCCATTCTATGGAAGTGTTTGCTTCTACCTCTGTATGTGCCTGAGAAGCCCCCTGATGTGATGTTCGTCTCATCCCAAACATAAATGGAAATGGGTCTTGGGTTTTCTCCGAAGAGAAACCGTTCTGACTCTTCCAAGGAGCAGTGGGATTCAGCCCTTGGAATAGGAGGCAGCAGGTCTGATTCAAGGGAACTCAGAAGTCAGATACTTGCTAAGGATGTGCTGTGGGCCAAGTATGGTACGGGCCACTGACACCATCTGGTTTCAGCCCTTGAACTGGAAGCCTGCAGTCAGGGAGCAGCAGCGAGACATGCTTCCACATCAGCCTCAATCAAGCGTTACTGGGGACCAAAGAGCAGACTGGAGGATTGCTCTGCTGGCAATGACCGGGTTGGGCAGAGCTTCCCCCTCCCCCGAGTTCTGGGGGAAACAATCATAACAAATCTGTCTCTAAAATGATTGTAGAGTAACCCTCCAGCTGCTCATGTTTACGTCTGCTGGTGAGTGACGGGAATAGCATGAGGGCTTTCGGATAATAAATACAAACCAATTTTAATGCACAGTTTCAATCTTCTTTCCCAAACCCCTGGCACCCACCGTCATATCCCTGAGCTTTTCTAGAGACACCAGCCAATGGTTAAATCATCTGATTCTATTTTCTCTTCTCCTCCCTTACTAGATTTGCCCTCTCAGGGGTGAGCTAATCATTGGGGGAGAAAATGGCCAAATGGCAGGAAGGAGGAGGTAAGGCACAGGCAAGTCACACACAAAAAAGTAATTACCCTTTTCACATTCAATGGGGGCTAGTATCTGCCACTTGGCTTTTACATGTGGACATTTTAAAAATGAGTTTGGCGACATTTAAAAGCTCTTTGGACAAAAGGCTCTGTAAAAATATTGTTTGTTTTGCTTTTAATTCTAAGAGTACACAGCTGTTAGTTAAACATGGACATTAGGATGAGCAATTATAGAATTCTTGCCACCGGGGTCATTGGATCTTACTGCTGTCACAGCAGCCAAGAGCCAAGAGCCCCTAAGACATAACCATTTATTCGGAGGTAAAGAAATTCCAAAGAAAAGATGGCAGTGAAGAAAGTACGGTCCCTTCAGATCAATGGAGAGCCAACTGCTTAGGTTTGGGGGCTGATTTGTCTACAGAATATAGCAAACGATATCAAGACTTGCTTAATTTCTTAATACCCTTAGTTTAATTTAAACTTATCTTTCTTAGACCCTTCTTTTCTGTAGGCTAGACACTGGGCTAGGAGCTCAAGAGGAATAATGCCCTGCTGCTTCTACCAAGGAACTCATGGTCTGGTGAAAGAGACAGACCCACGTGAGTTTCTACAATATATGGCAGGTCGTGATCCCTGCTGAAGGGAAATGTCAGTAAAGGCCACACTGGACAGTGTAGACTAGATTGAGCCCCGAAGCCTCAGTAACCAAAGAACAGTGACTGAAGGACACGACCGGGGTGAGCCAGTCACCTCTCAGTTCGCTCCAGCCATCTTGTCCCAACCCCCCACCCCCAACCCCACTCGGCAAAGAGTGGCAAAGCGCTGGGGTGGCGGGTAGCACACTCTCAGGTTCCGAGCTTAGGCAACTTCAGCGTGGAGCTGCTCAAAGGGGTCCACATAACTTATCCATAGGAAAAGTGATTTTCCCAATGGACCCCCAAGTCAATTTTCCCATCCCTAAAAGAAGGAAGCCAATTCCTGCTGTTAGCATCAGATACCAGAGTTCCATTAGCACGTTCGTGCATGAGCTCTTCTGCTGAACCACTGCAAACAGATCTTACCAGCGTCGCTGGGAGGCAGCTGAAGAAGTCCCCTCTAAACGCCCCCTCCTACAGCACCGAGATGTGCGTGTCCCTGCCAGGCACACACAGGCACACTCCAGTAGCCTCACCCCCGTTAGCTTGCTGGAGCCAAGGCTATTTAAAGACTTCAGTGGAATTCTTCCTTGACCTCATGACTCAGTGGGACATTATAGGGTGAGCCTTCCTCCGCAGAGCAGAACTGGGCAGATCACTTACTGCAGCTTTTTGGCTGGAGCACATGCAGCTGTCAGACAAACGACGGCTTGTGCCAGGATCACGCCTGTTGCTGTCTGCCGCTGAAGAACCACTTGGACTCACACTGAATTTCCATGACCTTGCACCGGGCAGAGAGGCGGGCCAGGACAGCAGCACCAAGCTTTTCCGCTGAACCATCCTTTTATTTCCTCTCCTCGCTTTTTCAGTCACTTGCTCTCACAGTAATTCGACTCCAGGGAAAGCACAGGACCGTATTTTGAAGGTGACCCAAGAGCTGATTGTACCTTCTTATAGGAAAAAAATTGGTGTCGATTTGGTTGCCCGCTGTCATGCTGCCACTGGTACCTTTCAAAAGTATAGTGGCACGGTTTGCTTTGTTAATGCTTGGTGTGGAGGAAATCATAAAAGTAATTGTAGTTGCTCGATATGCTTTAGATATTGATTCGTTGTGAATGCTCCTTTTTATTGATAAAGGGAAGAGCCGAGCAAAAAAAAAAAAAAAAAAAAAAAGGTAAACGTGCTTAGTTATTCAAAACACTAATGTGGAGGGAATTTGATACAACCTTCAGTGTCTTTGCTGTCAAATTCTGCAGTTTGCTGACTGACTGTGAATGCTTCTTGCTTCTCTTTTGTTGTTCTAATACTGCCCCATTCAAATAACTCCCAGGTATTTCTAAGGCTTTGGAAATCAAAGTGCTGAGGATGGCTGCACTGGCTGTCAAGTGTATTTAGCCAAAGAATACGCACTAATTGGGTGCTTGATGTGGGGAGCTGGCGGCCCGCATTCCGGATGATATTGTGGTTTTCACGTCACTTGGCTCTCAGTACGGAGCAATCTCAGTGGTGTGTTCAGAAACACCTTTTGAAGCTGTTGTGAACTAGAAGCATACAATTAAGAAAAAATCTTAGGTTCATGGGAAAGTAAGAGGACTTTGAAAAGACACATCTGTTCGAGGAATAATACTGCTAAATGCATAAAACTGCTGCACATAAGAAGGAAAAATGAAGTCATTTCTCAGCTTGTTGACTTAATAAATAGTTAATAGAAGAATTGCGCTCCATTCTCGAGCTTTAGTTAATAGACTGCCTGTCTGTAGTTAACTAAGATAGAGTGACTTCGGAGCTGTGCACCTGTATCTCACAATGGAGTCATGCTGGTGCTGGAAAGGGAAAGAGGGAATGCTGTTATTATTTTCAGGGACACATTAAACTAAACCTTTTTCTTGTGGTGATGGATTATTGCTTTTTAAGATTCCATTTCATAAGCCTCAAAGCACATACTGAATATGCATTTTGGTAGCTATACATTACAAACAGAGGAAGATTAAAGGACCCTGGGCTTGGTCGCTGGAAGATACAGGCAGGTATCAGCATCCTGAGATTATTGGGTGAGTGAGGCTGGCCTGGGGTGCTTCTCTTCAGTAAGACAGATGGGCTAGGGAGAGTCTGGACAGAGTCACTGAAGTGCTGTTACAAATGATGAAAGATAGGAGTTCAGAAAATGTTGTAAAAACCAAAAAAGGCAGAAATTCAACCTGTTAGATTTAGCTAAAGTGAAGGTCCTACTCAATTGTTCCATCGATAACTATTTAAGTACCTATGTGTGCTCTATCTTAGTACTCCACCCAGGAATTATTTTCAGTACTGTGTGAGATATACTTGAGAAACACAAAATACCCGGCCTGGATGAAATGTGCAACTAAATACCAGTACCCAATAACTATAATTCATCCAAGAACACCAAAATACAACACCTTCAAATATTTTAAGGAAACATAATAAAATTCGGAGAACACGAAAGCTACTATAAACAATAACGGGAACAATCTTGACCTTGCGGAAAAAGAACTTTTTACAAATGTTCCTTTTAAGTTACCTGTCAAGTTATGCGTTGACTCCAGAGCATTACTAATTAAAGAGAAAAGGACAGCATAGTAATAAAAGGGAAGCAGAGAGGGCTCATAATGAATTTGTAAGAGCTTGGGCGTCATTAGGCAAACATCACTGAAAGCGATTAGCATGAAGCTTGCTATGCAGATTTTTAAAGTAGTGTCAGGGGAATCTACTTGCAAGGAGAGGGCTTATTTTCTGCTGCTTCTAGACTCACTCCTTATCTCAGCACAAGATAGAAAATAAAAGATGAACTGGCATCCATCCCCAAAGTGTCAAAGTATTTCCTGATGCTCTGGAGAGAAACATACATTGTGAAAGCTACAGGACTAGTGGCTGCCAATGGAACATTGCATCATCACCCATGTTCTTTGGTTTCTGGAGTTCCCCAGAAGCCAGTGTGCCAGGACATGCCACTTAGGAGAAGCCTGTGTTCTTCTGTCTCCTGAATGTCACGCCGATCACTCTTGTGCATGCACAGAGGGAGAGACGCTGCAGGAGGTAGGGAGAGCTCTGCACTGACAGCCAGACATGTCAGTTGCATGGCACTAACTGAGCATTGCTCTGTCTGAAGACTATGCAGGTGTTGGGGACATGACAAAGGAACAAGATCACCACCCTCCAGGGACTCCCATATCCGGAGCCAAGAAGATGAGGCTCGGCTAAACAGCTAAATGGGAGGAAAACTGCCTTAGTAGATGTGTAAGTGAATACAAAGGCATGCTGGTGAGATTATAGGAGGGGCAGAAATGTGATGTGATTACAACAGTATGAGGTACGCAAAATCTGACATGACAGTTGTTGAGCTTTGTTTTGCTTTGTCTTTTGGAAAATTTGTGAATCTCACTGTCTCAGAGCAGTCTGCTTTGTAACACCTTTGTGGCATTTTTTTTCTACCTGAATCTAAGATGTAGGGTGTGCACATGGCCGGAGAGAGGGC